CTAGACAATGGCCAATAACAATAACAATAGCCAGCTGCTATGTTAATTCTCTGGTAATATTCTTATGCCATTTAAATGTTTCGATATTTTTCTGTTTACTTGATGATCTCGGTCGTTCGAGTCTTCATACATTCCCAAGTTGTCTTTAGTTGTTTATTGAGATTTGGTTGTCACGGCAACACTGAAATACTCGAAAGATTTCTCTTTTGACTTCACGCATACGAAATGCGTAGATAACAGAATTAATGAGTGAGTTGCCATATTGGAAGAATTTCACAGAATAAAGAACAGACAGAGAAACWTTAAAACCAACACCTGCAAGAAATTGGAAAGGCAGCCACATTACAAGGCTCAGAATGGTTACAACWGCAAGAGTGACAGTTAGTTTCTTGTTTTCTTGGATAGYTACATCATAASTGGTTCGAGACGYAGTGCAACGAACTTTCAATGCAATGAGAGWRTATGCAGCACAAATKATCACAAGTGAAAATCCAATAAATGACATAACCACAATTTCAAACACTCTTTTCTCTATAAATATCCTTGAAATGATCGCGATGAATGGAGGAGTCCACATAGAGCCTATCCCAATGATGTACGGTCCTTTACCTAATGTGGAGTGTCTGAATGGRAAGTATGTTGCATGTGCACGTTCAATGGCCAACGCTGCCAAACCAAATAAGGAAGCCCCACCAAAGAAACTCTCTTCCATGTAGAAAATATKTGTAATTAACGTTGAATATGCCTCGTCTTCCTGGACTAACRWCCAAACAATAAACATGGGGACAGACACGATGCCAACGAAGAGATCAGCTACAGACTGGCTGATAATCATAATGTACTGTTTCATTTGGAGACGCTTGGTTCTCGTGAAAATGACGATGGTTGCAGMATTTGCTGTCGYAATAACGACTGCTTCCAGCACGAATAACAATACAAATGGCCACATTACAAATCGATGTCTTCGGCTACTGGTTGATGTGAGATCCCTGAGAAGACTGTGTTATGAATGGGGAGTGTTAATGAGTGTTAATGAATGATTCAGCAAAATGATAAGCACTAGAGCTTGAATTTCCAGAAATTTCAAGAATCTAGCCGCTTCTTCCTCAATATATTAATGATTGAAAAAGAGAAGAAATAGAAGAAAGTTATAACCCAGCTGCAATAATCTGAAGCCGACCTTCACTCTCACTGAGAAGAGTTTCTCTGATTGGTTAAGAATTAATTGCTCAATCTATGATAGCTAATCCTATTCTATAATCAACACTTTGACATCACTATTTAGATGGTTTATTCTATATTTTCATGTTTTTTGTACCGGGTGATGCTCAAGTTTAGCATACACCTTGACATTTGTTGAATTTAAATTTTTGGAATAAAAACAAATTCMMMGCGCCATCTAATTGCTGAATCTGTTGGCCGGTAAGCTACTTATTAATTCATCACAACAARTCATCACTATTTATTTCCATCTGACTGTTGGCTAGGCTTACTTTAATTAAAATCCAGTATAATACGAAAGATAGTTGAATAACTGGTAAAACAATTCTAACCAAAATGACATTCAACATATTTCTCGCCATTTTCTCTCTAGAAAATAGACGTTGTCTATTTTTTGTGTGAAGCTCCAGTTTATACACGAACAAAAGAGAGCGAATACGGCTCTGAATAGATGAGGTGACGGTTTTGGCTGCCATCTTGGACCCGTAGGCATATTGTCTGCATATTGTCGCAAAATAACAAGGAATGACCGGAAAATCGATGCCAAATAATTCCAGCTGATGAATTCAAATTCGGAAAGAGTTATCAATTGCAAACGTTAGATACTGTAAAAAGGAGTTAACTGGCCAAATTTGAAGGGCGTACTTGATTTAGAGAGCGAGTAAACTCAGTTTTAGTTCCCCATACATTTCTTTGTAATTTCCGGGGTCATCAGCGCGTGACGCGCGTGAAAAATACAAAGAAATGTATTTAGAACTAAAAATAAATTTTCTCGCTCCCTAGATGAAGTACATCCTTCAAGTTTGGCCAGGTAACTCCTTTTTGAATTTTTTTYGAATTTGAATTCAGCGAGAATTATTTGACATCGATTTTCCGGTTATTAGCGGCCTAGCTTCGTATCTGTCGTGTCGCAGTTTTTTAGTCTCCCTCGGACTACAGGAAGACATATCTGTTAGTYTTCTCTCGAACTGAAAACTTTTCTCAAGTACTCAAAAACTATCAAAAAGTGCTTAAAGAAATAACAAAATCTTTCATTGAAGAATTGGACTAGTATTTTGTATTTGTGAAGTTTCAAGCTTGCTAGTAACCATTTTAAGACGATTTTGCATCGAAAATACTCTCGCCTTCCTCATCCGTCCAGCTCGATGAAATTAAGTACGCGTTTCAACATGAATTGAAATAAGCTCAAATCCTCGCTTTTTTCCACCATTAGCCAGCAAAAGGTATTTTTCTGTTTTAGTGACAATGTTTTAATTATTGATACTCGAGCGCTTTCAGTTAGCTGCGTTGATTACATCATCACGTGTACTACAACCCTGAAAATGGCTGCTTAAGCCGAAAGCTCGGTTAAAAAATAAATCAATTTTGCACAGAAGAATCAACAAGTATCAATAATAATATGCCTGTGTACGACGAAATTCTTAACAATGTTTTTATTGTTCATATTCAAATAAATTGCTTTAAAGTGGAGTAAATCATCGATTTTTTTATCAGTAGAAATGACAAAGTACAAGTTTTGAAATTGAACTTTGTTTTGCTTCAATTTTTGGAGCCCAATTTTTCACTATGACAAAAAGATTATGGTTGATTTGATATATGATAAGATTGTAGCAGACAGTGAAGGTTAGCGTTTAGTCGCCAGAAAAGAATATTGCGATTAGAATTGAACTGTAAACAAAACTAAAGGTATTCTACGCCATAATTTACTTTCATATATAAGCTTAGTTATGTCATATAGTCACAATATTCATTGCAGATATAGAGGATATTACATGGGCGYGCGGAGRTACAKATTTTATCTTCGAGTGTTGAAAAGATCTCTCACGAGTGAGCGTGTTATAGAATGAATTCAAAGTTTTGAATTTTTGGAAATGACGCATAATTTTATTCATTTAATCAGGCTAGGTACAGGACACAATTTTGAGGCCAAGAAATAATAAGAGAGTTCAATCTTTTTGTATTTGTACTCATTTAAGGTTACTCGGAACTAAAAATATTTTCAGTAGAACAGGAAACTTTTGACTTATACTCACGCAAACAAATGTGTTCCTCTTTAACGTAAAACGTACGATTCTCTTAAACTACATTATTTCACAAAAATTCTTATGAAATCGTCACTGAAATCGTTATCCGTTATTCTATAAAGGCCCGTTTACACTTGCAATTTTTGCAGCGCGATTGTCGCGCGACAATCGCCACTTTGTTCTCTCGCAGCTCAAATCGTACGTGTAAACAGCCCTGCGATTGTCGCGGCGATTTTTGATCGCCGCGTGTTGCAGCTAAATTTCAAGCATGTTCGAAACTAAGGCGATTGTCGTACGACAATCGCGCTGCAAAAATTGTAAGTGTAAACGGGCCTTAAGATTTAAAATCATGTATGGTTTATTAGCTTTTATTTCAATGCGACACAAGTCAAGAATATATTTTTCAAAACAAAAGCCATGTCGTGATTGTTACAGTACCTTTTTTCGCAAACCTCACTGTTAAATTAATGTTTCTATTATGATTCTTAAATATTTTTCGAAGTTCGAAAAGCCATAGCTCTCGCTTATTAGAATACCCAGATCGCATATAGAATAAGAGAAACAAGGAAGTGGAACAATTCGTCAATTATACAAATATAAAATATATCAACATATTAATTTCTACACTAACGTATAAGTAGAAAAAAATCAAGACAAAACAAAGCAAACCAACACTAACATCGGTAAAATCATAGCTGTTAAAGGATAATTTTCTCGGGATCTTGACKTCTAATTGAGCTTAATCAAATCAACTCTCTCTAAAAATTTTACAAGGTATCTGAAACAATTAAAATTCTATTTATTCAGCTTTGACACTTAAAGCAGAATCTGTTTAATGGGTTCTAAAATACACGTAATTCCGAATTAATTACCAAAAGTGATCGTAAAGATGACGCAGTCTAGAAAAAAATCCTTTAAAATATACTGATTTCCTACTTCCAGCGTTAAGTCCTACAAATTCTAAATAGATAATTCGATACTAGATAAATTTTCCTATATCTGCTATATACCTTGCTATAAAATGTTTGGCAGTATTCGAGTTTAAGTATAAACGTGTTTTGTGAACACATCGATGCGAGCCGCTAATCCTATTTTGGGATGATAGACAAGTTCTTCAAAGGAAGTAGTAGCACAAAAAATAAACTTTAGAGAAAACAGGAAAATATTTAAAATGTTATAATTAGCACAGTAAATATCAAAAAACACTGTGGAATGCCTCTCCGCGTATATAAAAACTACTGAAATAGTCATAAAGTTCAAATTATCAATAAAGCTCTTAAAATGCCCCCAAATCATGTTATATGTTTTTTGTATTGTTTTTTTTTTTTTAATGCCGAAACCTATAAATTCCATAACTATCCCTATGATTTGGTTCCTGCAGTAATTAAATGATTTATAGTGATAAGGTGATATATAGAGGGTTTCATATATTACATATATTATATATTACATGGGCGCGCGGAGATACGGATTTTATTTTCGAGTGTTGAAAAGATCTCTCACGAGTGAGCGTAGCGAAAATAGCATCTAATTTGCTATTTATCTAAAGATTAGTATTTTAAAAATTTCTTCCTGCATTTCGCAAATGACTTTGTGTTGTCTTTATGATTTTACAATCAAACAATGTTTATGGGATTGACTATAATTTTTGATTGACAAGCGAAACTGACTTCAAATCCCGGATAAGGAATAACTTTTACCGCATGAAGGCCTGCATGCTTCTCGTGTTCAGACGTGTTATCGATCAGACTCACTCAACGTAGATTGATTTTAATTGCCTCGCCTGCAAAACAATCATTTATTCGCTTCTACGGGACAAAACTGAAGAAGAAAACGAATATTTTCTGAAAATGTTTCGCACGAGTGTTGTCGTCGTGTTTATGGTCGGTTTGATGCTGGTAGCTGTAACAAAAGAAGAAAAGGTGAGACAGTAATTAGGTGTTATTAACCGAGCTCGCGGAAAAGAAAAGTTTGGCTGAACGTAGCAGTCCTAAAAAATGTTCAAAGCTTTCAAGGTGTTCAAAACGGTGTGCATTTGATAAATATATAAAGCTTAATTATTAAGTAATATATAAAATATGAGAAGCACAAAGAAATAGTTGTGTAATAATTCAAATATCAATGTAAGCTATTAATCGTGTTTGTTTTCATGTTATACAGGGAACCTTTGATGACCAGGACGTTCAGAAGAGATCGAAACGTCCGCTCATGATAACAGGTAACTTATTGTGTTATAATCAGACATATTTTCATTTTTTCATAATTTTTCTTAATTGCGTTCTTCCGGCGAAATTTCTTTTTCTAAATCGTTGCGTTCGTTTTTTTCATAATTTATGAACATTTCCTTTTTTTTCGTAAATCAGTAATTAATAACACGGAAAGCGATCATGCTCTTTTTTTTCTAAAAAATTTAACCACCTTCTTCAAAATTATTCACCATGAATTATATATTTGATCAGAATATATTTCCAAAGTAAGACCAAGGAATGTCTCTACAGCTGTTTTTGCTAATAAGCTTGCGTAAAGACTTAAATGAAAGACTATGAATTTTTACGAAAACGTTCAAAGTCGTCTCTGTTAGTATATTTTAAATGCGCTTTTTAAAAACTTAAGTTAACGCTTATACTTTAAAAAGCTTAAATCAGTGTCAATAACATTAGCGGAAATATTGCCCATTTTGCGCCAGCAATAAAAAAAAAAAAAAAACCCTACAAAGTGTTTATCACTAACTAATTTTTTTTCGACTTCAAATCACAAAGATAAGCAGCATTTGTAGAGAATGTATGCAAATTTGGTCGCTGAGTATGTACAAAACTAAAAACGCTCAGGAACCTCGACATTAAACGCATTTATTTTACTTTATTTTACATTTTGCTTTATTTTTTATGTAAAGGACATGCGATGTATCCACGAAGAGTGATCGAAGTGCGATTTGAGAAAACCTTTCTCTTAGAATGATATTTTGGCGAAAATACATTTCTTTAGGAAATTTATCCGCCATTAATTTACTTATTACGCATGCGCGACGCCATTTTAGGTGATATTTCTGCTAATGAAGTTTTACACTTTTCTGTACTAAACCATATTGAGTGCAAATTATTCTTAATTTAAAAGTTTTCATTTTCAAAGGGCCAATTAAAAAACTCAGTCCATGGTCATAGATACACACACAGCACAGCACACTCTATGGCCGACATTATTTCAAATATTTTATATCTGCACACAAAACTTCATTATGTCAGAACTTATATTGTATAAGCGAATCATAGTCTGCAGTTCTGAAGACTTCATTTGATATACTTACAGTCATGATGCAAACATCTTGTACAAGCAGCGCTCTCACATGCATTGGTCACCCTTTTTCGTCCTCGAAATTAATAATACCATATAACTGCGAAACCAAAACGCGTATCAAAAATGGCAGACACAACTTTTGAGCCAGGAGATCAGATAAGTGGTGAAGAGAACCGCGTCTCAATTGACGGCATTTTAAGAAGTCGTATAAGTTTCTTATCACGAAGATCATAACTCAAATGCAAGTTCAATTAACATTAAAATTTGTATGAAATTTTTTCATTTAGCTCGATCCTGCCTTGACCACCTCAAGAATGGCAAAACCAAGTCTAACTACTACCCGATAGTCACGCCGAAAGGAAGTCAGATGGTGTACTGTGACCTTGAAAGTGAACGTGGCTCTGCCTGGACGCTGGTGTTGTCGTATTCGGCAAGGTATCGTAACAAGAAAAACATCGCCCCTTTTAAGTACGGTTTGACAAGAGACCTCCCGGTCAATAGCAAGAGCCCTAACTTCAACATGTACCGTATGAGCCATGCCCAGATGAAGAACATCCAGTCCCAGTCCACCCACTGGCGAGTCACGTGCAATAACCATGTTGACTATCGTGATTATGTACGTGTCAAGTTTCGTGACCTGGATCCCTTGAAATTCATTGGTGGAGCTCAATGCAAGAAAGTCGAATACATTAACGTCAGAGGCCACGTAGGGATTGGTGTTACAGCAGCTTTCTGGCAATATTATCATGAAATGCTTCACCATGACTCTGATGTCAATTCATGCCAGTTTGGTAGAAGCGTCGGTGCAGTGGGTAGTGAAGACAACTTTGGGCTTTACAAGAGCATCAATAGAAAGTTCCGCTGTACTCGTGACGACTCAAGCACTACTAATACTTGGTTTGGCGGATATTTGTAAGAATACTTTGCTGTAAGAGACACCTCTTTTGCTTTAACTCTTTTTACCCTTACTTATTTAAGGTGTGAACATTAGGTAGGCACATGATTGTTGCGATCTACACTCCTCAGTACAATGAACAATTCACTTCACAAGAAATATTTTTTCCAAAACACGTAGGTATCTCATTCAGCAATCATTTAAACACGGAATACTGAACAAACAAAGCGTTTTAAGCATAACTTTCTAAATTAATAGTTAACTGCACTAATTTAAGAAGACGGGTAGCTAGGGCGAGGGACAGGGAGCCCGCCACTAAGAACGGCTGCAAGGAGACTAGTCCATAGCGTAAGGTTAAAATAATGATGGGAAACAGCTGTAAACTAAGGCTAAAATAAACGACCATTGAAAATGTACCACAGTATTATTTGTCTCCTATAGAAATTAGTCAAACTGCATGAACACGTTTACTTTATCAATATTCAGTCTACAGCATTCATAAAGTGAAAAAGCAAACACACACTGAAGTTATTTTAAAATCTTTACTTTCAACCAAAATCTTGATGTCAAAACACTCCGTTCCAAGAAAATTTAAGTACTTGGGGCTAGTCGTGTGTCAGAACAGATTTCAACAGTGGTATCAAGTAGCTGCAAGACTAGGCTAGTAACTAGACTGCGCCAATCAAAATCTTACTGCCTTGGGTTAAAAAATTAACAAACATACCCTACCAAAGATATGTCAAAAGGTTTCAAGCTTACTGGATAGCTGGAATTACATTTTTGAGTCAATATGGCTCTCTACTTCTCAAGATTCAAGTTGTCTTTGGAACGTGTATTTCTGTAATTATTGGCTAATTTCTTTAATTTTATTGGCTAACAGCTCTATAGATTAGCACTCGGTCTCAAACTTACCATTTGCATTTGACTAAAATATGAAGAAGATAATATTGCCTGAGTAGTATATATTTTGATTTAAAGCTGAAGACATTCGACGCGGCTTTTTAGAAGACAAAAACTCTTTTGCACATAGTGACTGTTACTGTTGAATATTAAGGATTTGAAGGAATTTTACAATCGAAAAAAAGTGAGTTATCGTAGAATATTTTCTTCATACTACAGTATTATATTAGTTAGTTAGTAGTTAGTTAGGCGGATGACTCCGAGATTTGACAATGGCACTCCAAACGACCCTGGAAGTATTATATAGATTGCGTCAATCGTTCCTATAAGAAGCTAGTACAGAGATATCTATTTCGCCAGTGTTTCACCATGTTGTCCAGTTCAGAAATGATGCACCGGGCGAGCTCTGRAGCCACGAGTCGAGTCACCACGATAAAAACACACTATTCCCGATGATGTCGATGGCAGGAAAAATCCTCTCAATATGAGATTACAACGATGACAGATCAGCATTTTAGATGTGAATAAAATGTTCATTTCCGGTAAATGCAATCGGTAATTTCGGACTTTTCATATCATCTCCCAAGTTCTTCATTCRTTTATTGAAATTCGATTAGTGCGACAACACTTGTGAAGTACTCGTAAGATTTCTCTTTTTATTTCGCGCATGCGAAACGCATAGACAACAGGGTTGACGAGAGAGTTGCCATAATGAAGGAATTTCACAGGGAAGGAAGCGAAAGGAGAAACTTTATTATAACCAAYAGCTATCACGAACGAGGAAGGCAGCCACGTGATCAAGCTTAGAATAGTAACAACAGCAAGCGTGACAGTMAGTTTCTTGTTCTCTTGCKTATTTAWATCATGAGGACGATGAGTTGTTGTGGAGCGGGCTTTCAKAACGATGAGTGAATAAGCAACTGATATTATCACTAGCGTGACCCCCAATACTGATGTTTCTATTATCTTTTTGGCTACCTCATTTYCCTTGAGAGTAAAACCGAGACCGRGCACGATRAGTGGAGCAGTCCACATCAAAACTATCCCGATAATGTACGGYCCTTTACCTAGTGTGGAGTGCCTGAAGGGGAAGTATGTTGCATGTGCTCGTTCAATGGCCAACGCTGCCAAACCCGATAARGAAGCTCCGCCAAAGAAACTATCTTGAGCATAAAAAACTAAACCAAATATGGACGAGTTAACATCGCGATCGCCTTGCTGTATTATCGACCAAGMAGTAAACGCTGGAATAGACACAACGCCTACGAAGAAATCAGCTACAGCCTGGCTKATAATCATAATGTAGTGTTTTCTGTGAAGACGGCGTGTTCTGGTGAATATGACGATTGTTGCAGCATTTGCTGCTGAAATAACGACTGATTCCAGTACGAACAGCCATACAAAAGTCCACATAACAMAAGTCGTTTGCTCACAAGTCGATGACTAGATTTTTTTGAGGAAGTTGTTTTACATATGTTTTTTAAAAGATGTACTGATAGATCAGAAATGATTTACATTCTTAATGTTAGACCGAGTAACTTGCAGCGTGGGAGGGGGTAAATAGAAGAAAAAGAAATAATGAAATTCGTCTTAACATAAGCTTATTAGTAAAGTTATGGCTAAAAACCTAAAATTTAATGTGTTAGCATCTGTCATCAGCAGATGTTATATTTTCTTTTTATTATAAAAATTTAAAACTTTGAAGTGCGAAAGCTTGCCATCTTCTTTATTTAGTACCCACACTTTTAAATCCATTAATCCAGATTGATCCAGATCGAAGCTAGCGGTGAGTGAGACGAGAGACACTTGATGTAAGACTCTATAATAGCAGATGTGCATGAACTCTGATACAGATTTCTAAAGCATTTCTTAGAAGMGATTTTAGTATTCTTGCGATTTATAATTGTCTTTTAGCAATACTGAGAACGACATATTTTTACAATGAGGCCACGGGGTTGAGTAGACTATGAGAAATTAGTTGATCATGAGGCCGTACTCGGCGTTATGTACTCGTACTTCACAAGACCAAATAATGTTTTAGTATCCAACAAACTATAGGGAAAATTTGAAAAAATTAGACGCGACCATGGTTTAT